TGCCATTTAACATTTTGCTAGATTTCTCGGTACCTAGTGATTGTAAAAAGACGATTTATAGCTCGTTGGAATCGCCTCATCGAGACGAATCGAATGGTGGTAAGCTCATCTCTCTGTGATCAATATTGACGGAGTTATTACTTAAAAACCATTTAATATTTTTTAATTTCAGAAATTGATTTAGTGATTGGATTTCGATGTATTTTATACCCTTAGATTCGTCTCATCAAGACGAATCGAATGGTAGTAAGATCGTCTTTCTAGGATCAATATTGGCAGAGTTATTACACAAAAACCATTAATATTTTTTTAATTTCAGAAATTAATCTAGTGATTTGATTTCGACATATTTTAACCATTAGAACCGTCTCATCAATACGAATCGAATGGCGGTAAGATCATCTCTCTACAATTAATATTGGCGAAGTTACAATACAATAAAGTTTTAAGTATAATTCGGCTAAAATTATGTTAATTTTTGGCCGGAATTATGATATACAAATATAAGAAATTTTTTATATAGTCACATCTCTTTATAATCACCAAATATAACTCTTTCCTGAATTTTTGAAAATACCAATAAAAATTATTTTTGAAATTTTCATTCGAAAATTTCTAAGTGCTCGTTCTAAATACTAATATTTTCCCAGTTGCTTTCCTCTTTACTGAGCTCTAAACTATGACTACACCTCCAGCTCCTTCTGTTATTAACCCGGATATCCCGCTGCCACCACGTCATGTTGTTTCTACTCCCTCTGGAGATCGACCTTTATCTCCCACTAGTACTGCTGGCGCACCTAATAAACATACACGTACTGTCTCTGATGACGCGATGAATGTTGATATAACTTCGCCCCCAGCTCCTGCTCCCACCCTTACTTCTACTGTTCCTTCTGGTCTCCCTGTCAACAAAGTCCAAGTGATCATCCCTCCTCTTAATACTACTACTCCTGTTGAAACTGTTGACGCTTCTATTCATGCTCCCTCTAACACCGGCGGCAAAGGCAAAGCTGTTGCTTTCGATATCCCAGAACGACGACCATCTCCCGATGGTAATGCTGCTGCTATCAAATCCGCACCTTCTCGCTATCATGCTGCGGCCTACCTACGTGACGCGCCTGACGCGTTCAAAACTAAATTCACCACTAATCGCTCCATGTGTGACGAAGTGGATTGTTCACTCTCCCGATATCCTTCCTATGGTGCCCGCGCACGCTGCGATGGCTCAGGAGATAACAAAAAGATCCTTGTCTTCTTTAATGATCAACAGGATTTTACCGATTGTGTCACCTCTCCACGTGCTGATCTTCTCAATTTAGTCTTCACCCATTATTCCCCTGCAGATGCCAAACTCAGCGACGAAGCGAAGTCTTTGTTTGTCACTGATATCCCTCTTTTCCTAATTGAGACTCAAGTCCGTCATGCATTTTCCCGATATGGCACTGTAATTAAGTGCAAACTTACTCCTAGGAAGCATTATTATAATGGACATATACAGTTTTCCTCCGCGGATGCAATTACCCAATTTAATGATATTTGGGCGATCATTTGCCTTGGTAACTCTTTACGTGTCTGCCCGGCATCCTTTTTGAAATCCCAACGCGATAGCCGCAGAAAACATGTCGCTATTCTTGCCGGCATTCCAAAGAATATTAAAGAAGCTGATCTGCTTGAAATTGCTACTCAAGTTAATGCTAAGGCCCTTAACATTCCTCTATCTATTAATTCCTACAAACCTAAACCCTATGTATATTTGAATTTCTCCTCGTTCGAATCTCTTGAAGCTGCCAAAGAAATGACCGTGGCTTTCCGCGGCAAAGGATTAACTTGGCACCCTCCTAATGAAGCACAAATTTTATGCCATGTTTGTGGGCGTCCTGGTTGTTCACCTTCTGTGTGTAATCCTCATACCACACGGAAAGTAGACGATCGCCTTAACAAACTTTATTCTCGCTTTAATGCTGGCCCTAGACGTGGACGTCAGGATTCGCGTCAATCACGTGACAATTCCACCTCCCATTCACGATCGCGATCCAATTCTAGATCCAGCAATAACAATTCCTCTTCACCCCGTTCCAACAACAATAACAACAACAACAATAACACTAACACTTCCTGTCCTAATACTTCTCGAAGCAGTAACTGGTCCAACAATAATAACAACCCCCGGAACAATGGTAATTCCTCCGGTCCTACTCAATCTCCAGACCAACCTCATTCTATCAGTTCTACACCTACTTCGCCATCTGACAGCCCTGCTCATGTACTTCCTCAACATGTTATTGATGAATTAAAGGCGCAGATCAAAGAGATTGCTACTACCCTTAAATCTCTCGATGCAACTGTTTCCTGGATGCAGGATACTATTACAAATCATGATTATAGAATATCTGAACTCGAATCAATGATGAATTATGATAACAATAATCCGGGTGATTCAGATTTGTACCCACCTCATAATGATCACGATAACCATTCTTATGATAATGGATGGGATGATATCCAAGCCAATGACACGAATTCTGGATTCAATCTTCCTCCTCATACTTCACCTTCTCTTATGGGCACTTCTCCAGATGCTTCCTTTTCAACTTTGGATCCTAACTCTGTCCTATCGAGACGACATGTTCCGTTACCTAATTCTCGACCTACTATTATTGCCCCTGATGCTAATTCTTCCCGTCTACAAACAGAAATCTTTAATGTTACTAATACACAAAAGAACCTTTCTGCCCAACTTGGTTCAATTATGGAAAAATTGGACTCCTTCTCTCCTTCAAAACCCTCCCCTTCCAATGATTGAACACCAATTTATATCGGGTGTATCACAGGGATTTCACCCCCCTAATAGTGCGATATCTAATTTTAATAATCCTAATAATCTCTCTTCTCCTTCTTCCCCCCTTATTAATTTTGGACAAATCAATGTCAATGGTTTGTGTTCTCCTGTTCAACAACTGCATTTGTTAAATTATTTTCTCCATTCCTCCTTTGGCGTTTTATCCTTAAATGATACTCGCCTTACTTCTTCTGGTGCTAACTTTATTTATCAAAATGAACATTCCTTATATAATTTTAAGTCATATTGGGCTCCTTCCCCTTGTAATTCACGACCACATGATGGTGTTGGTCTTTTGCTTCGCCATCCTTTACATAAACATGTCCAGAAGATCGATCCTTGGAAAGGTCGTTTATTAAAATTAGATCTTTTTTTCCATCAAACAAAAATTTCTATTATTTCTGTTTATATTCCTCCTTATCATTCTATTCATTACAAAGAACGTGATACTATTTTTGCTCAGTTGAATTTATGGCTTGATAAAGCCCGCGCTAATACCTATCATGTAGTTATCCTTGGTAATTTTAATGCAGATGAAATTTCACATTCACATCTTCCTCAACATCATTTAAAAATTTTACGATCACTTTCTTCTCGATATTTTACGGATCATCAATCCCATATCTCTTCAATTTCAGGTCCTAGCCCTACCTTTTATTATCAAAATGGTTCTTCAAGACTTGATTATATTTGGTCATCCCCTGGATTTCCTGCTCCTGGTCTTTTCTCTCATGTTGAAACTTGTTCTATTCTGAATAATAATCAATTTACTGATCACCGTGTACTTATAACGGCCTTTGATTTTAGCTTATGTTTCGCTACTTTATCCAAAGCTAGATTAAAGCAGAAAAGCGAACAACGCACCATCTTTCTTTACAAGAATTTGAAAGAAGATACTTGGGACAAATTTTCCAATGAAGTAAACTCACGTCTTGAGTTATATTTGACCACACACCACCCTTCAGTATCTTCACTTTCAGCTCTTTCATTGGACAAACTTTGGCATGCTCTTAAACGTTCTATTCTTGGTGGTGCTATTGATTCTCTACCATTCCAACATGTATCCAATACTCATCACCATAAATATTCTCCGGAACTTACAATGCTTATTGCTATCAACAAATTTTTGGATAGATTATTGTTCAAATTGACCACTTCTAGGTCTAGTCGTCCTGCTCAAATTACACAAATGATTAATTCTTTACCTACACAATTAACTCTCCTTAAATCTCTTTTAAAAGATTATACTATACCTTCTTATAGTACAACACCAATTCCCACTTTTGTCAAATTTTTGCGTTCACAAAAAGCTTTGGTCTCTGCTTATCTTTCCACGCAATTTCATCAACATCATGTGGATTCCGTTGAATATTATACTGCTCTTAGAGATGAACATTTCTCTACATCTCCGGGCTCCTTTATTTCTTCAGCCCTATCAGTGGAACATCGTTCTATCGTTCTTGACAGAGTTTTGGTTGTAATTGACTCCAAACCCACATTGCTTACTGATCCTTCAGATATCAAACAAGCTGCTATTAAACATTTCCAATCGGTTGTTACTCCTCCTTTGGTCCAGTATTCTTCTACGGATTCATTTCCTCCACGTTGGCAAAGAGCATACACTCCTCTTTCTGATATTGATTCGACATTATATAATTCGGTCATGTCTCCTATTCTGGAAGATGAATGGAAGACCATTCTCAATTCTATGCCTAATAACAAAGCCTCTGGTCCTTCCAAAATTTCTTATGAGATGCTCAAACATTTAACTGGCGAAGCTTTCAATTTATCCCTTATTTTAGCTAACGCCTGTCTGATTCATGGAGATATTCCTGCTGATTGGCGTGAAGCGCTTGTTTATCCCATTCCAAAGCCTCATGAATTTGACGCCCAATTGAAGAATACGCACCCTATCACTCTATTGGAAACAGTACGAAAATGTGTGGTTAAGGTCGTTACAACTCGCCTTTCAAAAATCTTAGCTGACAATCAAGTGCTCCAAGGTGGTAATTTTGCTGGATTGCCAGGCGGTTCCACTGACATTCCTATTAAAATGCTTGATGCTATTATTCACCAACGCCGTTTCGACAAATCTGATGACCAAGAATTATGGATTGTTTCTCAGGACATTTTTAAGGCCTTTGACTCAATTGATTTAAATATGCTCAAGCTGGCTTTAATCCGTTTACATATCCCGCCCCTGTTGATAAAATTTATTATCAATCTTTTCACAAGACGCAATAACAAAATTATTACCCATTATGGTGATACTTCCGGATATAGAGTTAGAATCGGTATTGATCAGGGTGAAATTATTTCCCCGTTATTATGGGTGATTTATTTGGATCCTTTACTTACGACGCTTAATCGAGAAGCTTGTGATCCTTTTATTTTGAAATCCTCTGCTTTATTATACTATTCTCCGATTAAATATGAACAACACAACCTTCCTGTTTCACATATCACATTTATGGATGACTCTACTTTGATTGCTTCATCTAAACGAGGAATTGAAGATCGCCTTTCTATTACTGCTGAATTCTATACCTTAAATAATACTCAAGCAAATTCAGCAAAATATATTCTTCTTTCTTCTGAACAATTTTCTCAAACTATTGTGTTTGATCTTTCTCCCTCTCCTCTAATTTCAAGTCCTACTCTTACTCTAAAAGCGTTAGCTTTATCCACTTTTTTCCGTTTTCTAGGAGTTTGGTTCTGTCTTTCGGCTTCTTCTCGCTTTGTTCATAACCAAACCGCTTCCATGGTTAAGGACATGGCCGCTCTTCTCAGTCCTAAAAAACTTTTGGCACAACATATAGCCTACCTTTATAACGTTGTCCTGCTTCCGAGGCTTGAATTTCGCCTACAAACCACATTATTTGCAGAATCTACCATTAATCGCATGGTTTCTCCGATGCTTTCCCTTATTCGACAAAAGGCTGGTTTTGCTTCAGTCACTCCTCTTTCTGCGCTTTTCACAATGTTACCGTTCTCAATCCAACAAGCATTTGGTCGATTTCTTTCATCTCATGTGGCTTCATGGCAGAAGATTTTTTCTCACCCTTCATATAAACTTTTCGCCAATTATATGATTACTTATCTCCAAAGTTTTTTGGACTGTGATGCCTGTCCTTCTACTATTGATTTGGAACCATGGTCCCATACTCTTTCCCTGCGGACACATTCTTTGTTCAATTCGTTATTGTTCTCTTCTCGATTAAATATCACGTGGTCTTTATTGTTCCGACCTCCGAGGAAAGATTTACGTCCGGCGATTCCACTCTGGTCTATTTTACCAAAAGATTTATTTACTTCCATGAAAAATGTTCAAAAAAATTTCTGCACTCGTTTTCTTGCTCAACTGATTACACCGTGTGGCTCTCGACTTCTCTCATGGAAAGATTTACGCTTTCTTAAACGAGTATCGAACAAAGGATTTGTGCCTGCTTGGTTTAACTATTTGTTCAATCTTATTGTTGTTCCTAATTCACCTTCCTTTTTTATTTTACAACAATTTAGAATTCCTAATTCTCATACTGTAGCTTCTATTTCTTTTATAGACATTAGTCGTAATTATTGGTTTAACCCTCAATGGGCTATTTCTTTTAATCGTAATACTAACTCTTTTCTTGTTGGCCGTGTGATTACTACCTATCCTGCTCCACGTAATGAAGCTCTTATTTCACATTGGATTGCGTCCTCGGTCGATGACTTGCTTTCTGATTTTACTGCATGCCAAGGTTGTGCCTCTGCTCTCCCGCGATCCTCTACCTCTAAGACATTGCTTAAACGATGTCCTTCTGAAAAGTGCTTCTCTTATGTGTCTTTATCAAGTTTGATCCGTTATCCGACGAAACCTCGTACTTATATACATGCAGATACTCGTTCAGTTTCACTTTCTGCCTCGTTAGGCTATGCCAAATCCCTTTTACTGTTTCATCTTTTTGCTCCAGATCGGTTACCTTCTCTGAATGTACTGATGCCTAGGATTTCTGATATCCAACTTCCCTCTTCAGTGTCTACTCTTTATATCGATGGTTCCTTCCTTCCTCCTTCTAGTCATCCGATATCTTCGATGGCTTATGCATGGACCGCTATGGATCCTGATGGATTTATATTGGAATCCTATTATAATATTATTTCTTCCATTTTTCCTTCTGCATTACGCTCAGAAATTTTTGCTTTATTGCATGGATTGGACTCCCTCCCTCGGTATTCAAAAATTACTGTCGCCACTGATTGTGCTCAATTACTCTCTTTATGGTCTTTGTATGTGGATGCTCCTTTTATTCCAAAATTGCTTAAAGAACCTAACCACCTTTTGTGGTTCTCCATACGTGCTATTACGTCAACAAAGAATCTGGATGTCACCTTAATTAAGGTTCCTGCTCATGCTGACGACCCTTTAAATAATCATGTGGATGCATTAGCTAAAGCTGCTCATATGGATTCATATCTTTCTTCTCGTCCATTATTGGAATTGTTGGCTCTTTGCACTCTACAATTTAATTCTTTGCCTGTGGATATGAATATCCGGAAATTTATTAGAGATATTTTTGACGCTAAGAGCCTTTTAACTCTTGCTGTATTACCAAGATTTAATTCCTATTCTTCAACTTCTGATATTGATTGGGCATGTACCAAATTTTGTCTCACTAACAATAAGCACTTTGTCTCCCATCGGAATGGCCGCTCCGAGTTTTATGGTTTCCGTATCAAACTACTATTAGATATGCTTCCGACGCTTACAACTCTTCAAAGACGAAAGCCTCACCTTTATAATCTGAGTTGGCTTTGTCCTCAATGTAATTCTTCTCCTGAGACTTTAGACCACTTGTGGACTTGTCCTTATATCTTACCAGAATTTAGCCCCTTAAATACCTTTAAAATACTTTTATTGGCTCTTCGAACCAATTATCTTAACAAATTCATTTCCACGTCATCTTCATCACCTTTACCGGACTCTTTTGCTGCTGATTTTATGGCTCTTAATTGTTGGGATTGTGACCCTCCTTCAATTTCCTGCCTGCGACTCGCACGAGGACTTATACCGATATCCCTTACAACATTTCTTGGAAATTACTTTTCTTCATTTACCATATGGTCTATCCTAGATACACCTTTGCACGACTTTCATTTTGACCTTTATGTACAAATCTGGTTGTGCCGTTCCATTTTTTTTCATCATTGGGAATCAGCTCAAGGTATCACAAAGAAAATAAAATCGTCAGCTCTTGGGCCTTCTACTTTTTTTTATTCTTCTTCTAACATTCCTTCTGACTATTCGACACCTTCCTTGGCGACAGTTTCCTTGGATTCCTGGGTTTCTTGGGTTTCCTCTTATATAATCCATGGGGGATCTTGGATTTCTCATTTGGATTTTTGGCGCCGCTTAACAGTTTAGCCTCTACTTAGGATTTTTTTTTGGTAACGGTTTGGATCTTAGGATATGCTGGATAGTTGACTCACACTGGCCTTCGGGTAAAGATGGGGTATGCGTTTCTGTAATAGTTTAGTTTTTCTTTACTTAATTTTATTTTGTTTAAATTTCTTTACTTGTATGAATCGTGAAGCTAGTTTTTTTATTTTATTTTTTGTTTAATTTTCTTATATTTTGTAATATTATTCGATTTGTTTATTGTACTTTTCGTTTTAAAATTTATAATAAAAGATAAAGTCATATGACTGTTTGCTCATAATCACCAAATATGGGACTGTCCCAAATGTGTGACTATAAAGAGAGTTGACTGTATAAACCTCTTGTGATCGCCAAGAATAATCATAGACGCATATGATCGTCTTATCTGGATTCTCTTCATCTGACTCACTGATTTCCGGCGAGTGGTAAAATCAATTTGCCAACATTTTTAATAATTGGTGTTTTTCATAACCAATTATTCTTTCGTCACTTTTCCTATAAAAATCCTTTGCAGCCTTAATTCGACGCAATTTTTTCTTAAATGATAAATATATAAGAAAATTAGCATAAATCATTAACATGATGATAAAGGAAAAAATTTGACAATTTTACATTTTGTACGTGACTGTTGTTATGAATTCTGCGACTGTCCTCGTCACTTTTTCCACTTTTTTTCAGTTATATTTGTGATCTTCGTGACTTATGGAGGGCGCTCAACCAGTTTGTCAATTGTGCTACTGAAGGTTTATAATTCAGAAACATCGCTCTTTGAAGTTCGGGAATTAATCTACTGTGAATTTCAACATTTTTTGGACTATTAAACGTTTCGTTATTATCCAAATTGTTATTAGGTTTAATAGTTTTGAGGATCATTTTCATTTCAATCTTTAAATCGAAACAACTAGTATAAAAGTATAAAGACTGTACAATTCTGCCTAAAATTACAAAATTACAAACCCTCACCTCCTTTTCATGTTGTTCTTCTTGTTCTTCTTTTGGTTGATTTTTGGCGTAGTGTACCGTCTTCTTTCCTTTTTTTGACCCATCCGATTTGAACCATTTTGCTAACCGTTCTTCTGGAACATCAATAACATCAAGGCTTTCAGATGATAATCGTATCTGGTATTGTTCGAGTTTCATTTTTAATTCATTAACTTCTTCTTTCAAGTCATCATTTTCAGAACTGAATTCTGCATTAACACCAGCAAGAAATTCGTTATCTTCTCGTAAGCGAGCTATTTTAGTGGCAACGACAGCTGTATGTTTGGTTAATTCATTATTTTGTCATTCTAACTGTAAACACTTCACACGCAAATCTGATACTTCTTGAGATAACCTCCGATTCTTTGTATAAAAATGTAAAATTAACAAAAAAAAAATACTAAATCTAACTGACGATATATACATGATACAGACCTGTTGATGCATCATCATTGTAGTAGGTTCATTAGTTTGATATCTGACCAGAAGCTGAAGATTTTTATATCTCTCTTTTACACTTTGGACTCGTTCATGACTTGGCNGTTTTTAATAAAAAAAGACGTTTTTGTAATTATTTTTAATAAAAAAATGTCAGATTCAGATCAGTTTGGTATTTTTTATATATATAAAATGCTGAAATGTCTTATTTCTGTCTCTTATACACATCTAGATGTGTATAAGAGACAGGGAAATTACGTGTCGATCATTATTCCGGCCAGAATTATAGTATTAATGTTGGCCAATAATTTCGGCCAAATTTCGGCCTTTCGGTAAAAGTTTCGGCATTGTATAATTTCGGCAAATTTACTTTTAATTGCCTAAACTTTCGGTTTTAAAAAAGTTTCGGCCTTGGCCTAAACTACTTGATTTCGGCAAGCAACATTAGACTTGGCGCAGCAGATGGTGGTTGAGTATTGGATGAATCCAGAAGCCGAAGATTTTTATATCTCTCTTTTACACTTTGAGCTCGTTCATGACTTGGCGCAGCAAATGGTTGTTGAGTATTGGACGAATTTTTATTGATGTTAGTAGTTTGAGCTCGCTTATGAATTGGGGTGGCAGTCCCTTCAACAGCTTGTTGGATATTGGATGAACTTTTATTGATGTTAGTAGTTTGAGCTCGCTCATGAATTGGCGTGGCAGTCCCTTCAACAGCTTGTTGGATATTGGACGAACTTTTATTTATGTTAGTAATCGTTTTATTTCGATTATCACTAGCCAAACCTTTTTCAGTATTTTTATTTTTTCTATTTTAGATCATTATTTTTTTTGGTTGCGAATTTTGGCTCATTATTTTTTTATTTTTTTTTTGGTTGCGAAGAGTATTAGACATTAAAACTCTAAAAAGAAAAGGTTAGTGAGAAAAAATGAAGTTTTATTTAAAAAATTAAACTTTAAGAAACTTTCACCATCATACTGATCGAATAGTCTATTTTATTATTAATATTATTAATTGAATGATTTGAACGCTGTTACCCCTAGTCACGTGTAGAGTTATAACTTACTGCGCTGGAAATCATATGGAAAATTAGGATCTACTGTGCCCAACTGTGCCAAGCCGACCTAGCCGCAGCCTACTTAGCCTATTATTTCTATTATATTTATTATATTAATTATATTTAATATAATCGATATAATTATTTTATTTATTATATTTAATTTATTAGTTATATTTATTATATTAGTTATATTTCTTATATTTATTATATCTATTATATTTATTATATCTTTATATGTAGTAACTTTTATATAAATAACGTTGGTATTTTCCTTCGTTATGGGGGAAGTTCCTTCAGTTCGAATTAGTTAACCTTAGTTCCTATTAGTTCTTATTCTTGTAATTATAAAGTTCTATAATCAGGTATAACCTTTTACACTATAAACGAACTCCCTATTTTAAGCGTGTCTTGTTTGATTGGATTTCAGTCATAGTTAAACGTACTTAATCTCCCTGACTGCAAATCATAGTTAATCTATTCAACGTACCGAATCGGTTAACAAGTGGTGATTCCTGCCAGGTAAAAGGCTATACTGTGAATTAACAATTGATTTCTTTTCTCAGACGAACTTGAGAATACTTGCAGATGTACTTGCAGACGTAATTTCTTTTCTCAGACGAACTTGAGAATACTTGCAGACGAACTTGCAGACGTAATTTCTTTTCTCAGACGAACTTGAGAATACTTGCAGACGTACTTGCAGACGTAATTTCTTTTCTCAGACGAACTTGCAGACGTAATTTCTTTTCTCAGACGAACTTGAGAATACTTGCAGACGCACTTGCAAACAAAATTTACTTTCTCAGACGTACTTGAGATATTAGCAGACGTACTTGCAACAATTTGAATTTTGAAATTGAATGCCCTTTTACAATTTATCTAAAGCAGAATTAAAATCACATCAAAGAAAATATTGTAGAGGAAGAGTGATCAACCAAAAGGAAGTTTACTGTATTCAGTGTTATCCAACAGATTCTATCCCAGCTGACAATATCCCTGACGGATTTGAGAAATTTTGGCTTTGGATTTCTATTCAGTATACAGCAAAACAATATACTGGAGCAACAGTAGCTGCTTTTAAAGTATTAAAAACTGAATTCTTTACAACTACACAACTCAATACACTTGTCGGTATAACTACTAAGATCTTACAAAGTATAAAGTTTCGGCAAATAAATACCCCTTTATTAGAATTATCCTTTTATTTACATAAATTATTTGAATTAACAAACGGATTCAAGAGTTTATCAACCAATACTCAAGTGACCAACGCATATCAAATTTTTCATAATATACCAGTAAATAATAACGCCAACATGAATGAAGGTCAGATGAAAGATCTTATGAAGTTAGTTTGGGAAGCTGACCCAACAAATAATACTAACCCCAGAAATGTTGGAAACCTTTTGGAAAATACTTTGAATAATAATAAAACTGCCATTACTACTGCGTTACAAAATAATCTTAATGCCATTAATGCCCTTACAACTGCCAACCAAAATCGTATTACATCTAAAGTTGTAGATGTTCCCTTTTTCTATGGACGTGATAATGAAGATCCATACGAATGGTGTTGACTCTTTGAAGCTGCCTTTGCAGCTAATAGATGGCCAGATAATCGAAAAATTGCTTTAGCCGCTGGATTTCTTAAGGAAGCTGCCCGGGATTGGTATGAAGAGGATAGAGGGAATATCAATCAATGGCATGTAAATAATAATAATGATAATTTTGATACCCAATTTATAAACTACTTTGCAACTGCTGCTCGAAGGAATCAGTGGACCAGAGAACTGCAAAATATTAAACAAGGAGACAATAAATCAGTAGAAAACTACTCCCGACGTTTTAAGAAGTTGTTAAATAAAGCTATTTAAGGAGAAGCTTTAGCCGTAAGATACCAAATTAACTACTATATTAATGGTCTCAAGTCTTTCTTGGTTGGACAGGTAGTAATTGGAAATACTGATACTTTGGAAGCAACTATTACCCGAGCCAAGTTAGTAGAATTAGGTGTAAACACTACTCTTTTAACTACAACACCTGTAACTATTAGTACTACAGAACCTATTCCAACTACTACTACTACTACTGTTAAACCAACTCCACAAGTAGATGAAATTGAAGCATTTACAAAACAAATGCAACAACTCGCTCTTAATTATGCAAATCTTTCATCAGTTTTAATGGTTCAACAAAGCACTCCTCGAAATACTAGACCTAGACCTAATAATAATAATAATCAAAATCGTCAAAATGGTCAAGCCCCTACTCAGAATTCCTTCAATCCAAATATTACTTGTTTCAGATGTGGAAATGTGGGACATATTTCCAGAAACTGCCAAATGGGAAGAAATACCAATAATGGAAATATTAATGGTAACAATAATAATAATAATTGCCCTCGCCAAAAAGCATTAGTTACACCTATTAATTATGCAGATGATGAAGCAGAGATTTATTATGATGAATATAAGGATGAATATGAGGAAGAATGGGAGGAAGAAGATGAATATGAAGCATATGTTACAACTCGTTCTAGATCTGTTCCATATGAGATATCCTCTCCTAGAGGAAAAAGAACAAGATTTTTAGAATCTCGAAAGGAAGACCAATTACGTACCCAACTTATTCCTCCAGTAACTCCTTTTACACCAATGGATATGGATGCTACAGCAGAACCTTCAACAAAAAGAAAAGTAAGAACCAAAATGGTCCCTGCACCTATTGAAAACGTCAATGAATTTGATATAGCTAAATATATTAGTGACCTTCCTTGTGGTCTATCTATCGGTCAAGCAACAGCTCAACTTCCTGTTTACAGGAAAGGATTAATTCAAAGTATGAGGAGAAAGCGTGAAAAGATTGATAACAATAATTATATTGGAGAAAGTTACTATGGAGACTTCAACTCAGAAGAAGAAACTCCCACTACCGCTGCTAAATGTGAATTTCATATTAACCAACAACCAGTTATTGCAGTAATTGATAGTGGAGCTGCAGTTAGTATTATGACTACTGCCATGATGAAAACTTTGAAATTAACTATCGATGGACCTTCAGAATATGTAATTAAAACCGCCAATGGAACTAGAGTTAGATCATTGAGAGAAATCCAAAACTTACCCCTAAAAGTCAGAAATTTAATTATTAAAACCAATGTTCAAATCATAGAATCAAGCGATAGTGTTTTCATTCTAGGAAATAACTGGATGAGAAAGGTAAATGCTGCTCTTGACTGGGACAAAAAGACACTAACTATCAGATACAATGGACGATCTACAACAGTCCCTGTGATTTTTACCCTTCCAAAACCTATTAAAATGAAGCAATCATTTGAGTATGATGACAAAGAGGAATATGAGTCTGAAGAGTTAGAAGAAGCTCAAATCTATATGTCTGATTTTTCTGGTTATTCTACAGAAGAATCCCTTGAATTTAACCCTTGGGAAAATGAAATATCTCCTGCCCACCAAAATAATGAAGATGAAGAATTGGAAGAATCAAATTCTGCCATTTATTTAGCTCAAGCAGAAGTATATAGTGAAGAAAAAGTCAATCCAGACTTACATTTAGGACCACTAGACTACCACCAACAAAACCAATTTCAACAACTCTTGAGTGACTATGCAGATATTTGTGCTAAAAGCCAAACAGAAATTGGGAAAACAAATGTAATTAAGCACAAAATTATTACAAAAGATGCTACTCCTATTTCTCAACCACCCTATCGATGTAATCCTAAATATAGAGAATTTTTACAAGGTGAAATCACAAGAATGGAAAGTCAAGGACTTATAAGAAAATCAGCTAGCCCTTGGGCTTCACCTGTAGTAATTGTTGATAAAAAAGGAGGAGAAAAACGTTTATGCATAGATTATCGCAAATTGAATGCTGTTACCAAAGCAGACGCCTATCCATTGCCTCGAATTGATGATATGCTCTAATCTTTTAGTAATGCAACATGGTTTACCACATTAGATTTAGCCAGTGGTTATTGGCAAGTAGCCATGGATCCAGTAGATGTTGAAAAGACTGCCTTTATCACTCCATTTGGACTATATGAATTTTTAGTTATGCCCTTTGGTTTAGCTTATGCGCCTAGAACTTTTTAACGACTAATGAATAGAATACTTCAAGAGTATCTAGGAAAGTTTGTGGCAGTATACTTAGATGATGTAATCATTTACTCAAAGGGAACCTTGGAGCAACACTTGGATCATCTTAGACAAGTATTTGAAACTCTTAGACGAGCAAATTTGAAGATTAAACTTAAGAAATGTTATTTTTGCCTTGGAAATATTCATTTCCTAGGACATGTAGTAGGACAAGAAGGTATCCAACCTGATCCAGAAAAAATTGAGAAAATTAGAACTTTTCCAGTCCCAATAAACCTAACGCAACTTCGCTCAGCATTAGGCTTATTCTCCTACTATTGAAAGTTCATCAAAGATTTCTCAAAAATAGCCAAACCAATATTATTACTTTTAAAGAAGGAAACCCCTTTTCATTGGACTGAGAAACAGCAAACTGCATTTGATTATTTGAAGGAAAGATTAATTAAATCTCCGATCTTAATATATCCTGACTTTGAACAACCCTTCATTATCCATACAAATGCATCTGGAACTGGACTTGGTGCTGTATTATCACAAATAAGAGAGGATGGAAAAGAACATGTAGTCGCTTATACCAGCAGATCTTTGAATAAGGCTGAGTGCAATTACCCTATAACTGACCAGGAATGTCTTGCTATAGTGTGGGCTATCAAACATTTCCAACACTACTTAGGATTGAAACCTTTCACAATTGTTACCGACCACTCTGCTCTAAAATGGTTAAAGACATCTAAAATCCCAAAAGGTCGCCGTGCGAGATTGGTCATGGACCTTCAACAGTATGACTTTAATATTAAGCATCTAGCTGGAAAATCAAATGCAAATGCATATGCATTATCCAGAATGTTTGAAGAAGATAATCAAATTTTTAGTTGTTTTATGATTTTTATCGAAAAAGAAATACAA